AGGAGTTTGGTTCCATTGAGCAGTTTTGAGTGTGAGATCGTAGGTGCAGAGGAGTTGCCATCGATTCCAACAGGACTTCAGGTTCCGCCCTTACCCGTTGATCAACTTGGAAAGCCAGAACATTTCTTTCCACGTGAACCTGGTGTGCCAGAAGAGCTAGCAACGATCGAGCCCGAGATTGTGAGCAGAGACAGGGCTGGAGGACTAGTTGAACTTCCTGAGTGCATTTTTGTGAATGGTTTGGAGCTGAATGAAACGAGCCCTGTGAAAGCATTGAAAGATGCATGTGAGTACTTTGGTATCAATCAGAGTGGATCCAAGAAGAAGTTGTTTGAAAGACTTTGCAATTATTTGGAACAGCAACACAAACGGGATGCAGTTGTTCTTTCAGAGAATTTGAAGAAAAGGATGCAAGAACCTTCATTGTCTGTTCAGAAACCAGCAGATCCTCTTCCAGATGAGGCTGAACAGGAGAGACACGCTGTGACACACCTTCCATTTCAGAGTTGGTGCAGCGTTTGCGCGAGATCGAAGTCGAAGGAGGATCGAACATTGCAGAACACGGATTTCGAGCAGGAAGACAGTGGAGTGCCCACAATTCAGATGGATTGGAGTTTCCTTGGAAAGGATTGCCCTGCACTTTGTATGTTGGACACGAAGACCAGGTACAGCAGCGTGTTTCCTACGACAACGAAGGGAGCATACAGGCAGGCAGCAGAAGCAGCAGTAAGGTTCTCATTGGAACTTGGATATCTGAAGGAAGTCATTTTTGTCATGGATTCAGAACCTGCGACTTTGAGCCTTTTGGATATGGTCATTGAAGTGCGGAGGAACATGGGATATCCATCGTCGAAGAGGCTTGGGAAGCCCTATCACAAGGGAAGGACAGCAAGAATAGAACGGCAGATCCAAACTATGAAACATCAGGCATCAGCACTCGTTTTGCATGTGGAGGACGCCCTTGGAACAACGTTGGAAGATACACATGTGCTTCGCGCTTGGGTTTTGATTCACAGTTGCTTTCTTTTGAACAGATTTCACGAACATCGAGCATTGAAGGCGACACCCTATGAAATTTGGTTTGGAAAGAAGTATGACGGAAAGTTGATGCCGTTTGGTGAGTTTTGTTTTGGGTTGAAGAAACCTTCAAAGCAGAAAGGAGTGAGCACTTGGACAGGAGGAGTTTGGGTAGGAAAGGACACAGTTGACATGAACATCATTTTGACCCCTTCTGGACAGTTTGCTTCAAGGTCAGTGAGAAGATGTGCTACGCCTTGGAGGAAAGATGTCATTTTAGCTTTGAAGTCAAGTCCATGGTTGAAGCAGAAGGGTCCGAAAACACCTGGTGGTCTAGGCACGCCTCTTCCCGTTGTTTTCGAGCATGTGGGACATCGTGAACCTCGAGAAGGAGAGATGGTTTTGGATAGAGATGAGGAAGACGTGAAAGATGCTGAATCGTCAGGATATGCACCGACGTCCCCTGGCGAACGTGCTCCTCTTACTCCACCTTTTTTGAATCCAGAGGTGATGGCAGACATGAACAAATCTAGTTCTTTGATTGATGAGATCGACATGGATGTGAACACCAGTTCAAAGCAGTCCTCAGGTGAGTTGGCTGGCGAAGAATCTCCTCGGAGCAAAGCACCCCGAGGTGAAGGTCTGAATGGAAGTCCTTCTAGTGGAGTTCATGATCGTTTGTATGCACCGTATTTTGCTGGCCAGGTTGAAATGAAACCGCATGATGACGAAGTTTGGGACATAGAGGTTGAGCAGCATTTGACAGAAGAAGATTTTGATTTTGACCCCGAGTTGTTTCAGGATGACATTGATTTTGAGGGTGAGCGACCACCCGATATTTCGGCAGAAGAGCTACAGAAGCTGGACGATCAGGCCATGATTGACGAAGTTTCGAAGTTGAAGAGTCTTGGAGTGGTTGAAGAAGTGAAAGTAGGAGAAGTGAACTTTCAGGAGACGAAGTTCATTGATTTGAAAGAGGTGTACGATTGGAGACATCGACAAGGAGCTTGGAAAAGACGTTGCAGGATAGTTGCACGAGAGTTCAGGGCTGGAGCGCATTCTGACCAGGAGACATTTTCACCAACAACCGCGACTTCAGTAGTGAGGCTATTCTTTGTCTTGAATTTGAACTTTCGTTGGAAACTTCTCAGCCTAGATATCAGTGATGCTTATTTGACGGTCGATCAGGTTGAGGAATGCATCGTAGAACTGAGGCCTTGGATCAAGTCAGTTTTGCAAGTTTCAGATGACACAGTTTGGAGATTGAAGAAAGTGTTACCCGGACAACGTAATGGAGCAAAGAGATGGTTTTCTTCTTTCTCGCAGGTGTTGAGTGAGCTTGGATTCGAATCTTGCTTAGCTATGCCCTCGGTGTTTCGACATACAACAAAGCAAGCAGCAATCAACATGCATGTAGATGACATTTTAGTTGCTGTGAAAGATCCCCGAGACGGAGAGTGGCTTTTGCAAGCATTGAAGGCAAGGTACAAGCTTCAGGCTGAAGGTCCGGTTCCTTTGGGCAGTGTAGGAACTGGAGAGGAAATCAGTTATTTGAAGAAGAAGTACAAATTCACTCCTGAAGGAATTTTCGTGAAACCCAATGAAAAGTACCTTGATGCATTGATCAAACTATATGGACTAGAAAACAAGCGATCCAAAGCAACACCGGATCATCAGCTGTTGGGACAAGTGGATTGCAGCGAGAGCCTTGAAGACATCGATCCAGGGCGGAGAAAATCTTTTCGCAGTGGTTTGGGAACTTTGATGTACATTGCTCAAGAGCGAATCGATTGTCAGTTTGCGATCAAGTCTTTGGCGTCTTGGCTTTCGGCCCCAACGGTGAACGCAGAACATTGTTTGATTCATTTGATTTTGTATTTGAAGGGAACAAGAAACCTCACCTTTCTCATGGGCTATGAAGCCCCAGGAAACTCAATGACATGGAAACTGAACAATGTCCCAGGAGAAGGTGAACAGGAAAGCAGTGGCAGAGCACATTTGTTCGAATTGTTTACAGACTCGGATTGGGCTGGCAGTGCACATTCCCGCAAAAGCACATCCGCTGGCATACTTTGTTTGAACAGCATTGTAATGCACAGTCATTCTAGGACCCAAAAGAGCATAGCACTTTCATCTTGCGAAGCCGAGCTTTTGGGGTTGACAGGAGGATTGAGCGAAACGCTTTTGGTGAAACAGGTTTGGGAGTTCTTGGTGAAAGATGTTGCCAGGATTTGCATTCGAGCCGAGTCATCTTCAGCAAGGCAATGGTTGCAACGTAGTGGAGTTGGCAGATTGAAACATTATCAAGTGAGACTGTTGTGGACACAGAAACTCATACAAGATGGTTCTGTTGATATCAAACCTATATCCACGAAACTCAACATTGCAGACCTCAACACGAAGAAACTCAGTGTAAATCGAAGACATTTCCTTCTATTCTTCTTGCAAACGGTCTTAGTGACTGAAGATTTTGAGATTGAAACGAGAATTGGATCTAGAGAGTTTTTCGAGCATTGCAATAGCAAGTTGATGATCCAAACAGTACAAACAGCATTTGCACGAAGATTCAATCGATACAACCTTGGTACATTGATGACCATTGGTTTAGGACTTCAGGGTTGCAATCAGTCTGAAAGAGAAGTGAGTGGAATCATTTCTTTATTCTTCGTGGCAGGCATTTGTGTGGCATTCGTTTCATCGGTGATTTTCCTTGTGCGAAGCTGGAGCATGAACACAGGCGGGGAATCCATCCCCGTACAAGCTGACGAACCGGAAGCATTTGCAGAAGGGTCAATCGAACAGGATTTGAGGCTTGGTTTGAATTGGATAGAGAATGAGCTTCGAAAGAGGCATGAGGATTATGCAGTGCAATTTGATTTGCAGGAGAAACGACGTATGGTGATAGCATTGGTGAGCATGGCAGTTCGGTATGAGAAACCGGAATCCCGCAGAGCAATTCGTCAGTTGATCAATGATTTGTCGCTTGGAAGTTTAGAAACATTCCCACGATCGAGCGGCAGTGGCAGCGCAACAGATGGTTACAGTAGAGCTTCAGGAAATGAGCTTGAAGTTTCTGAGGATGAGCCGGAGGAAGACAAGAAGATGCGATACAGGTGGTGCAGTTTGAGTGAAGCAAGCGATCCAGATTTTTGGATGGCAGTACATCATGGTGATTCGACAAGTGAAGATGGAGACAAAGAAGCAGGAGAAGCAGAGAACACGACAGATCCAGTCATGGGAGAAGAAGCTGTGATTTCGTCGAGTGAAGAACCAAAGCCAAGTGGATCGAAAAGATTCGAAATTCCAGAACCGGAACAAGAGGAACGCATTTCGGCAGTGCAGAATGAGAGTGTGCGGCGACGTGTGGCCTATGCCCGTGCACTTCGACATGGTGATACGACTGCTGAACCAGAACAGGAAGATGGATGATTGCATGTCACGACAACTGGACACTACGAATGAATTCAAAGTCCGAAGGAATGAGTGAACACGTTTCATAGCAATTTACATTCCGACCTTAGTCTGTGGTCACCTTCTTGATGGTGATGGAATGTACAGGAATGGAAAATCGAAAGACTCGAAATCTCGCCATTTCAATTTTAGGCGGGGTGTTAGAGTTTGTTGGATGAACTAGTATGTATAGAAGATGCAGTTTGCTAGTTGAAAACTACTCGTACTTCCGCAGCGCTTGAGTCCCAAAACAAGCGCGAGGGATGGGCTTCGCTATCTAACAGTTTGTCACAAATTTGATGTTAGATTATACTTTAATTAGAATAAAAACAATGAGCTACTAGTAACAAGTGCATCGCTACTAGTAACAAGTGTAGTAACAAGAAGCTAGTAGACATCACATCTCGGAGGTCACTTCTAAATTAACTTCAAATGTTGAAACTTAATTCTAGCAAACATTGTTACTACTAGTAAGGCACTTGTTACTAGTAGCTTATTGTTTTTAATAGCTTCTTGTTACTACTAGTAAGGCACTTGTTCCTAGCATTCGTGTTGGCACGTGATTTCTGCCCCGTCCTTCCGCCATGGCGTGATGAGTCGGTCAAGACCTCGGTGTTTCGGTCGGTTGGATCGGCAAATGGACGGCGTTTCGTCAGGTTGGCACGGAGCCAGCAGGCGTTGAAACTCTTCTCTGAAGTCGATTTGCTTGAACCTCGGATGACGCATTCAGCTGTCCGGTGGAAATCATGACAGCTGAAAGATGGGGATGAGTCGGATGAGTATGAGAGAGAAGGAAACAGCGACTGAAGTTGCACTTGTCAAGCCAGTCTTTCGCTTCCATGGAAAAGGCCTCATCCATGGTGTCGGCAAGGAGAGACGAGCGGCGTTTCTGAGTGACTCAGTGTGTCTTTTTCCGCGACACGTGGCGGTCGTGGTCAGGCTGGTGCTTGTACCGGTGCACGGCAGCACGCGCTGTGAAGGTCGCAGCGTTTGATTTCGACAAGCAACCCGACTGCTTTTCAGCGTTGGAACGAAATTGAAGTTGCTCCTTCCTTTTTCCTGAAAACTAAAAAATTGTATTCATTTTTCCTATTGTTTTTAATAGCTTCCTATTCCTTTTTGTGTTTTTTCGTTCGTATTAAAAACAATAAGCTACTAGTAACAAGTGCCTTACTAGTAGTAACAGGTGCCTTACTAGTAGTAACAAGAAGCTATTAAAAAACAATAAGCTACTAGTAACAAGTGCCTTACTAGTAGTAACAGGTGCCTTGCTAGTAGTAACAAGAAGCTATTAAAAACAATAAGCTACTAGTAACAAGTGTCTTACTAGTAGTAACAGGTGCCTTACTAGTAGTAACAAGAAGCTATTAAAAACAATAAGCTACTAGTTACTAGTAACAAGTGCCTTACTAGTAGTAACAGGTGCCTTACTAGTAGTAACAAGAAGCTATTAAAAAAAAAAAAAAACTACTAGTAACAAGTGCCTTACTAGTAGTAACAGGTGCCTTGCTAGTAGTAACAAGAAGCTGTTTTAGAACAAGAAGCTACTAGTAACAAGTGTCTTACCACTAGTAACAGGTGCCTTGCTAGTAGTAACAAGAAGCTATTACAAACAATAAGCTACTAGTAACAAGTGCCTTACTAGTAGTAACAGGTCCCTTACTAGTAGTAACAAGAAGCTATTAAAAGCAAGAAGCTACTAGTAACAAATGCCTTACTAGTAGTAACAAGAAGCTATTAAAAACAATAAGCTACTAGTAACAAGTGCCTTACTAGTAGCAACAGGTGCCTTACTAGTAGTAACAAGAAGCTATTAAAAACAATAAAGCTACTAGTAACAAGTGCCTTACTAGTAGTAACAGGTGCCTTACTAGTAACAACAAGAAGCTATTAAACACAATAAGCTACAAGTAACAAGTGCCTTACTAGTAGTAACAGGTGCCTTACTAGTAGTAACAAGAAGCTATTAAAAACAATAAGCTACTAGTAACAAGTGCTTTACTAGTAGTAACAGGTGCCTTACTAGTAGTAACAAGAAGCTATTAAAAACAATAAGCTACTAGTAAAAAGTGCCTTACTAGTAGTAACAGGTGCCTTACTAGTAGTAACAAGAAGCTATTAAAAACAATAAGCTACTAGTAACAAGTGCCTTACTAGTAGTAACAGGTGCCTTACTAGTAGTAACAAGAAGCTATTAAAAACAATAAGCTACTAGTAACAGGTGCCTTACTAGTAGTAACAAGAAGCTTTTAAAAACAATAAGCTACTGGTAACAAGTGCCTTACTAGTAGTAACAGGTGCCTTACTAGTAGCAACAGGTGCCTTACTAGTAGTAACAAGAAGCTATTAAAAACAATAAGCTACTAGCAACAAGTGCCTTACTAGTAGTAACAGGTGCCTTACTAGTAGTAACAAGAAGCTATTTAAAACAATAAGCTATTAGTAACAAGTGCCTTACTAGTAGCAACAGGTGCCTTACTAGTAGTAACAAGAAGCTATTAAAACCAATAAGCTACTAGTAACAAGTGCCTTACTAGTAGTAACAGGTGCCTTACTAGTAGTAACAAGAAGCTATTGAAAACAATGAGCTACTAGGAACAAGTGCCTTACTAGTAGTAACAAGAAGCTATTAAAAACAATAAGCTACTAGTAACAAGTGCCTTACTAGTAGAAACAGGTGCCTTACTAGTAGTAACAAGAAGCTATTTAAAACAATAAGCTACTAGGAACAAGTGCCTTACTAGTAGTAACAGGTGCCTTACTAGTAGTAACAAGAAGATATTTAAAAACAATAAGCTACTAGTAACAAGTGTCTTACTAGTAGTAACAAGAAGCTATTAAAAACAATAAGCTACTAGTAACAAGTGCCTTACTAGTAGTAACAGGTGCCTTACCAGTAGTAACAAGAAGCTATTAAAAACAATAAGCTACTAGGAACAAGTGCCTTACTAGTAGTAACAGATGCCTTACTAGTAGTAACAAGAAGCTATTTAAAACAATAAGCTACTAGTAACAAGTGCCTTACTAGTAGTAACAGGTGCCTTACTAGTAGTAACAAGAAGCTATTAAAGACAATAAGCTACTAGCAACAAGCCTTACTAGTAGTAACAGGTGCCTTACTAGTAGTAACAAGAAGCTATTAAAAACAATAAGCTACTAGGAACAAGTGCCTTACTAGTAGTAACAGGTGCCTTACTAGTAGTAACA